GTATGAAAACATGAGATCAATTTGCATTTGAATCTTAACTCCAACTGCTTTACTGTCTGATCTTGGGTGAAGACATTTAATCCTCTGAGACCAGAATAAAGAATCCATTTCATTTCTTGTCTTGCATTTCTAGAGGAAGGGGACAGTCCTTTAACCCCACATGTTTCTAGTACATGCAAATAAAGTAGCTGTCAAAAACAAGCTTGTGAAAATCCTACAGCATGTCATCTCACTAATAGGAAAAGGAGAAAAATTGTCTTTTCTGTCATGTGCGAACACAATATGCTTTTTGCATCCCATGGATGAAACAGGTAAGTCTGAAGAGTTTAGAAGTCGATTCTTTTTCTTGGATCTAATGTTTAGTATTAGATCCCAGAGGCCATAGAAATTTGCTAAGGGTTTATCATTCATTTACAAGTCAAAGGAAAGAAAGAAAAGGCTTCAATTTCCCCAATAGTCTACATTATTACTTCATTTAAAAAAAAATTGTTCCTCTGATTTAAAATAATCTGTTTTTGCTTTGTTGTGTTTTGTATTGTTAGTATTTTTTTTACACTGATGTCTTATTTGGTTCCCCTATAGTCCTGCTATAAGTGAAACCATCCGATATTTTTCTTCTTCCTTCTGGCTTATTTCACTGAGCATACTTCCTTCTAGCTCCATGCACATTGCTGTGAATGGCATGAGTTTATCTTTTTTGATTGCTGAATAATATTCCATTGTATATATCAGAGGGTGGGAGGGAGGAGCACAGGGTACTGCAGCGATGATGCACGGGTGCACTGGTGAAGGAAATGCTATGGGGACTATACTTGAGGGGGTGAGGGGAAGCAAATACTGTTTCAAAATGAACAATGATGTAAAAAATTTTAAAAAATTATAATATAAAAAAAGTTACTTAATAAATAGCCCTTTTTCATCCTACATTATTTGTGGCAAAAGACAGATAGGCAAATGATACAATATTCAACATTTTTACCCAGGACATTAATCAGGGCATTAGAATGAATCTTTAAGGGCCTCCCCGGTGGTGCAGCGGTTGAGCACTGGGTTACAAAGCTGCCCGCAGCCTCTGCAGCATCGGTTCGATCCCTGGCCACGGGGTGAGGGTCCCACATGGCGCGCAGACCTCTCCTGCCGCCCGCTGCTCCCCTCAGCAGTGTACTTCGTCACTCTGCCTGTTCTGCTCTCTGCTCTGGCTCTGATGAATTCTCTCACCCTCCCGTGCTTCTGACTGTACCCAGTGCTTGCATGCATGCATGCATAAATAAATAAATAAATAAATAAATAAATATTTAAAAGAAACATTTGGTGTCAAAGCAAACTTCTTATAAAAAGTCCTAGTAAGGGACAAATTTAATTCATAATCAACTAGCTTAAACAAAATATTTAATATGTCAAACTAAGCTATGCTACGATCAGCATCTTTCCTTAATGGGTTTAGATCCCTTACAATGTTTGGACTTCATATGCAGAAAAAACAATGTGGATCTCGGTGAGTTATACTGTCTACAACACTCTTAGTACTGGATTAGAGTTTGAAAGCTGGGCTTTCCAAAATGACTAATAGGACACATGTTCAGGATAATCTGAAATTCATGATGTGTTAGGCCAAGGGAGTGACCTCATAAGTAAAATGTTCAAACATTTGTTTTGACTAGCAGTTTCTTAATCTCACATGAGTTGTCATTTGTTTCATATTAACTTGAGCTACTTTATTCCTAAAGACCTTCCTTCAATATTCATTATTTGTACAGTATTATATTTCTTTCATTTTGCATTCATTATGAACATTTTTTACACATGAAGATATCTTATGGTGAACCCCATATAACTCAGGGAGATGTAGAACAGCAATTCCTGAGGTCTACTTTAGCTCTTATCTCCCTGACCCAACTGAGATCTCTAAAGCCTCTGGGTCACTATACTATGCCCCAAGTTAGTTAGTGGTAAATTGACAATGACCTCCCTGACCCCAAGGACTTCAGTGACTTATACAAAACAGGACAGACTTGCTGATCTTCGGTTCCTTATGTCCACATTCTTAAAGGTTGCTGTGTTTTAAGTTTTCTGGAACTAAATATAAGATTTATTATTAACACTGTTTCCTTTTACTTCTGAATAAACAAAAGTGCTTTCTTCTGAAGAAAATATTTGTTCTCCTAGGATTTAAAGTACACAAATTCTTGTAGAACCATAATTATATTAAGACCATAAGCAAAGAAAATTTGTTCAATAAATGGTGCTGGGAAAACTGGGTTGCTACATGCAAGAAAACGAAGCTTGACTACTACCACACACCATGCACAAAAACCAACTCAAAATGGACTAAAGAACTAGACATAAGACCTGAAAGCATTAAATACATAGAAGGAAATATAGGCGAAACACTACATGACATACATCTCAGCAACATAATTAAAGACTCATCACCCAAAGCAATGATAGCGAAAACAAAGATGAACAGCTGGGACTACATAAAATTAAAGAGCTTCTGCACAGCAAAAGAGACAGTAACCAAAATAAAGAGACACCCCACCGATTGGGAGAAAATTTTAGCACACAACACTAATGATAAAGGACTGATCACAAAAATCTACAAAGAGCTGATGAGACTCAACAAAAACAAAGTAAATAAACCAGTCAAAAAATGGGCAAAAGAGCTAAAAAGGAACTTCTCCAAAAAGGAAATGCAAATGGCCAACAGGCATATAAAAAAATGTTCAGCATCACTTGTAATCAGGGAACTGCAAATCAAAACTACAATGAGATACCATCTTACACCAGTGAGAATGGCACATATTAAAAAAACTAGCAACAACAAATGTTGGCAAGGATGTAGAGAAAAAGGAACTCTCCTGCACTGCTGGTGGGAGTGCAAAATGGTCCAACCACTATGGAAAGCTGTGCGGAAATTCCTCAACCTGCTAAAGATGGAGCTTCCATATGATCCAGCAATTCTACTCCTAGGTATTTACCCAAAGGACACAGAATCCTTAATTCAAAAGGGCACCTGCACCCCTATGTTTATAGCAGCACTATTTACAATAGCTAAGCTATGGAAACAACCCAGATGCCCAAAAATAGATGACTGAATCAAGAAGATGTGGTACATATGCACAATGGAGTATTACTTAGCAATCAAAAACTCATGCAATTTTGCAGCAACATGGATGGCGCTGGAAGGGATCACGCTCAGTGAAATAAGCCAGAAAGAAAAAGAAAAATACCAGATGGTCTCACTCATAGCACGAATTTAGAAAACCTAAATAAGGGACCAGGAAAAAGACTAATTATAATAAAGTAAATATCAAAATCAACAAGCAACTGTAAACCAGAGACACACTAAGGTGGGATGGAGGGAAGGGGGAGAGATTAGGATCAAAATAAGGTGGGGGGGAGGAATTGTACAGGGAATATAACCAAGATGAAAAGGCATACATTGTGCAAAAATGAAAAATGATGTAAAAAATACATAAAATTAAATTTTTAAAAAAGACCATAAGCAATATACAAAGAGGGAAAATCGAGGAATTGTCTAAAATAAGTAAGTTCAGAAATTATACACCAAATCATAACATCCAAAAAAATTATAACTGATATAATCATAGCATTCCAAAGGATAATAATTGATATAATATTTATAGAGGGGCACATTCATAATGAAGATAAACATAAGATGTGGCATATATTAGCTAAGAGATTTAGAGATTAAAATGCAAATAACGGTTAAGGCAGGAAATCTTTTAAAAGAATTTTAAAATCTGCTATAAGACTAATAGTAAAACTCTATAACTATTTAGATATTTATTAAGATAATTTGAAATCTTTTAGGAAACAGTGTTATCAAAAGAAAAATGGAGATTTGTGATGAAATCTCAAAATACCTTTATAGAAAGATGTGTTGAAAATATTCACAAAACTACCAATCTTATATTAGGAATATTAGCTAAAACTATAAAGTTTATAGAATAACCAGCATCTAATTTCTATGACAGAAAGTACAGTTAATTCAGTCATGGAAATCTAGCCCTGGATATCTCAAATAAACAAATTATCCCATAGCTGGGGTTACCAATTCATAAAAAGGCTGATATAATTTTTCAATAAAGTAATGGCAAGAATTATACTTCATATTTAGTATTTAGGTTGATGTTCCAAATTTTAAGTAAAATTTCCTCCAATAAAGGGAGAACATATTTATGGAAGATGTCACAACTAAACAGCTAGAAGAAAATTAAAGCATCAATGAATAAATGTTTTCTAAATAGCTATAATATAGGATACCAAATAAAAACTCAATGTAAAAAATACTATCACATATAAGAATGCTAATTTTTATACTCATCGATAAAATAATCATTTTTCTCTTTTAGGAAGCAATGATCTCCAATATGGACCTTTCTCAGTTAACCTAAAGGATATAATGGCACAGCAACAGGCTGTATATCAAGCAGGTGAAAGAGAATCCCAGAATTACAAAAGAAGGGTGAGGGACAGAGAGATGAAGAACAAAATCAAGCATCTTTCCTTTTGGACTCAAATCTTCATAGAAATGAAATTATAAATTATCAATCTAACGATTTATGTATTCTATTCAATGAAAGCCATTTCAGTAGACTTCACGCGTTGAATTGAGGTCATATCTCTTTAAGACCCCTTTGGAAGAGATAATCCAGAATGAATATAGTCACCTCATGAGTGGAAGACAAAATTTTGCAAAACAAACTTTGTCTCCTCTGCCCTAACCCTAATCTCTATAAAAATGATACATTATTTGTTCATGGCAAAATGGGGTAGGGAATGATGGATCTAGTTTTTCAATCTATTTGCCTTCTCAAACTATGATTCAGCATGTCAAATGAAATTTTACTTGGAAGAACAGAATTTTTTTCTTTACCTCAATGTTTGTCTGGACACAATTTTGCAAAATGGGGGATGAAATAATAAACTATAAATCATATATTACTGGTGAAAGGTAATTGAGTAAATAAACTTACCATTTTTTAGGCTGTGATAATGGTTTGTATTTGCTATATTTCACACGCCATTCAAGAACTTCTTTGCAGTGCTGACATACTCCATCATGAAGTTTTGCATTCATTTTCTTAAAAAGAGAAAAACAAATGGAAAAAGGCACATGAGAAACAGAAGTTTTTAAAAAAAATATTAATAACTTTAATAGGCATAATGGGTAGAGGACATTCTAATTTTTCTTTGCTTCCTTTTTTTAATTTCTAAAGGGGAGAAAGAAAAGCATCACAAAAGATGCAGATTCTTTAGAAGGTTATGTGATACTGAATTTAAAAGCACAATGTTTAGAGATCATTTGAAAGAAGAAAAAACTTTTGAACAGAACTTGATATTCTTTAAAGTTCTAAACAAGAAGGTAAAATAATTTCACAAAATATTTATTCAAAGAGAAAATATTTCAAGGGTATTTCCAAAACCCATAAATTAAACTGTGACTACATTACACTTGAGTTTAACTGTGGTGTAAAACATTCAGCTACTTGTGAATTGTATATGAGTATTCTTTGCTTCCTGACCTAGATGGAGAGTCCCTGGGAAAATAAGTCCTGTGTACCACTATATTCTCTTACTATGGCCAGAATAAAGGAAATCTGTTCTACATACTAAACTACTCTTCTCAACCTTGGTACTTAGTTCTCATGTTCAGTATTCTAAGAAAAACTCAGAACTAAAGCTCACAACTCACCACTTGTTCTCACTGCCCTCTGTTGCCTAGAATATCATAGAAAAGCCTCACTTATATTTTCCTAACAACAAAAGAGGGAACGACTTGATGATTACAATATGAATGTGATATAAACTTTCTAATTAGAATATTCTTAGAATGCAGAACAGTTCTTTATCTGCAATTTTATTATATATAACACACTCTGTTTGTTAACTAGGAAGAATTATTTGGTTTTTTATGTTTCTGTATCCAATTTCTGACCAGTTCATCTTGATTTACAAAGCCCTGCATAGTTTGAAAACTGGTTTCTTTAGGGTGGATCTACAATAGAACAAAACAGGTCTTTGTGGGAACTTGCCCTGTGAGTGATGTGTGAAGCAGTATAAATGGAGATGTTGTACAGAGTTCACATGACTAACAGCCACTACTACAAAATTAAACTTGATTTCCATATATTAAGAAATGAATGAGTAAAAATGAGAATCAATAGTACTTTCACTTTAAAACAGTTACAGAAAAACAGAAAACTGTGCACCTTGTTTTACCGTATTTTGGCACATGAGAAAAAGTGAATTCCAGACATATGAGCAATGAAAGCTAAATTCTGGTTCTAGGAACCATACAGCCTGAGGCAAAGGAGATGGCAATCTTACCTCACTCACACCTATTTTTACAATTAACCCTGTTTTGGCAATTAATTTCAGCATCTCCCTTACGGCAGAAGACCACAGGTTACTAAGGTTATGAATTAAGCATGTTGATATATAAAATCAAAACTTTGATAAATACAAAAGTGTTTAAAGATCATTTCATTTAACAAGCCAGTTTTCAGGTCATTAAAGGAAAAAACAATAATCAGTGGAAGATTCCACTGAACTTTGGAATCTTAGCCATAGAAGAAAACTTTATATATCCAGTAAATATTTTTGTTTTGAAAGTTAAAATAAATCTAAGGTATATCAAAACACATTCCTACTTCATACAGATATAATGTCTTTGCTATCACTAATTCTTACATCATATCTTAGAGTGCTATCCCTGCTTTAAACATTCTATTGTCAGATCGTGCGGTTTTGGTAATATAATCAGGCTAATTCCAAAAAGAAAATGGGTAAGGACTTCAATTTCCAAGAAGGCCAAAAGAGCAAATTATAATGAGAACATCCATGTCAATATGCTGATGCTGAAAATATTTTATAAATTACAGTGTTAATAGAAGGAAGTGCTACTGTGAGAAAAAAGGAGTATCACTCAAAAGCAATTTATGCAATCTCTCATTAGACTTATTTTGCACATCAATTTTTTTAAAGAAATCCGAAAGGTAAAAACAAAGGTCTATTTTACTTCCCTTCATTGATTGAAAAAAAAGCAGAATTAACAAATGAAATAAGTTTTCAAGGAAAATGGCAATTCTAATTGCTTCTGAAAATTCATTTCCATGAAATGGCCTAGTTCTTTTCCCTACATTAACCCTCCCCTCAAAATAAGTTTTCTTTTTTTTTTTTTTTTTTTTTAATTTTTTTTTTTTTTTTTAAGAGGCATGTTTTATTTATTTATTTATTTATTTGTTTGTTTATACATGCACTGGGTACAGTCAGAAGCGCGGGAGGGTGAGAGAATTCACCAGAGCCAGAGCAGGGAGCAGAGCAGGCAGAAGGACCGAAGTACACTGCTGAGGGGAGCAGCGGGCGGCAGGAGAGGTCTGCGCGCCATGTGGGACCCTCCTCCAGTGGCCGGGGAGCAGCCAGGGATCGAACCGGTACGGCAGAGGCCGCAGGCAGCTTTGCAACCCAGCGCTCAACCGCTGCGCCACCGGGGAAGCCCTCAAAATAAGTTTTCTGACACTAATATAGCTACAATAGTGCCACTTCAGGAAATGGGACTTTTAAATATCTTATTCAATTACATTTAAAAGAACATATATTTGAATTATCTAGTAAAACGCCCTTACTCTAAATTTGTCTAGAAGGATCTCTGGATTTGGGAGCAAGAACTTATATGACTAATAATGATAATGTGAAAGTCAGGTTGTGACTTTTAAATCACAAAGCATATTGTAAAATAAATCAGAAAAATAGATGAGGAAATCAGAAAAGGGGCAATGAAGCTAAGTGGAGAGAATTTCAAAGTCAGGAGTGCAGGTGGGAAGTACATTTGCTAGAAATAAATGAGACTTGAACTTTCTATCTGGCACACAGTAAAATGTAAGCGCCTCTCTACCTGATGCAATGTCTATAACATGCCAGAGATCCAGTTTCCCAGAAGCAGTATTATACAAACCCAAAATTTCATCGTTCCCAAAAAGAACACATGTGGTATATAATAAGCAATGCTCTCAAAAATATCCTTACAATACAAAGTATTTCACAGGGCTGTTTTCTACCCTGGTTCTCAAAATACACTGGTTTTATGTACTACTAAAACCCAGTTTGGTAAAATTCTTTTTGGTGCTGCAACATAAGTACAGAAGCCTGACATTCACAGGGTCTATAGGAATGCAGAACATATCATAAGACCATCTTCAACAAATACTATTTTTCTCAACTGAACTTTACAAACTCTCTCATCTATTATGAAAAATTTCAAACAACCAGGTCTTGTATGCACAAATAAATAAATCTCTAAAAAAATTTTCAAAACATGTAAAAAATTTAACATGATAATACTAATGCACAGCCATATACACACTTATTTGGAATTAAAACTTCACCAATGCTTTTTGTGTGTACATTTAAAATAACTTGCAGAAATCAACAGAGCAGTTTAATCATGTATATCCTAGAAATATTTTCTTTTACCTAACAATACCATCACACCTAAAGAAAATAAAAAATAACTCCCTACTATTATTGAATATAGCCAGTCTAAACTGAAATTTGCTCAAATGCTTCCAAAGTTCTTTTTAGAACTCTCTTCCCCATTCCCCACATGAGGATTAACTCAGTAGCCAAGTACTATTTGATTATCTGTCTTTTGATCAGGAAGGGTCTGTCTTTTATCATTACACATTTCACTAATGTTTTTGAAAATAGCAGCAAAGTTGTCTCAGAAAACATCCCACCCCTTAATGGATTTGTCTCATTTACTTGTGGTGTAATTTATCTTTATTAATACATAGCTGTATTGCTTATATTGTCTGTAATGTGCAAGTTGGGTTTAAAAATATTGATTTGATCCAGGTTTAATGTCCTTTGAAAATAGTTCATATGTGTTGCTGCACACTTCATATTATCCAAGACAGCAGACACAAAATGTCCAGTTCTCGCCACATCAGTGATGCAAGATTTGTCTGCTTATTTAAACAAGGTGGTGACTGCCAGATTTCTTCAAATTATAAAGATTAGTAATAACCTAGGGGTCATGTCTCATGTCAATTGGTTGTTCTACAACATTTCACTTCATGATTTTAACATCCATTCAAGATCTTTTGCCTGAATCCATCATTTTAAATGCTGTCGTTCTCTCTATTCAATGCATTAAATTTTTTAAAAAGGTTGCCAGGTATAATAATAAAAAGGTTTGAGGTATAATATATATACAGTAAAATTCACTCATTTTAGGTAAATAGTTCTATGCATCAGACAACCATCACTCTAAAAAGTCCCTTATGTCTCTGTTGTCAATTTCCTCTTCCCCATTCCCTCCACAAGCAACACTGATTTTTAAAAAATATACTATAACTCTGCCTTTTCCAGACATATAAATGGAGTAATAAATTATATATAATTTGAGGAGTTCATTCCTTTTTATTCTCTTGTATAGATTTACCATAATATTAATTTATTCACTGTATGAAGGACATTCAAAGTGCTTTCTAGTTTGGGGTGCTAAAAAATACTTGCTTGTGGTTTTTGAGTGGATAGATATTATTTCTTTTGGGTTAATGTCTAAGAATGGCATTGTTGAGTTATATGGTGATTTAATGCTAACAATCTTTCAAAGCAGTTGTACCATTTTGCACTCCCACTAGTCATGCATAAAGATCCAGTTTTCCACATCCTTTCCAGTGCTTGAAATTGTAAATATTTTTCTTTTTTTGACATTTGAATAGGTATGTAGCATCATGTCATTATAGTTCTATTTTGCATCTCCATATTTTTGATGTTAAACATCTTTTTGTGTGCTTACTACTGTTCATTTTCTTTAGTGAAGTGTCTATTAAATTATTTTACCCACTTTTTTTTTAACTGGGCTGTTTATTATTGAGATGTGAGAATTCTGTACAGATTCTAGACATTAGGCCTTTATTGATATGAGCTTTGCAAACATATTTTTCCAGTCTATGCTTTTATTTTCATTATCAACATTAGTTTTCTTTTGTTGTTTTAAATTGAGGTAACATTGGCGTACCACATTGTATATGATTTAGAGGTATAGATTCACACTTCTTCAAATGTATGTTATCA